CCATGCCAGCAGGGCCCAAAAAGTTTGTCCTGTGACGAAAGATCTGGTGCGGCCTTTGCTGATGTGCTGACTTGTCTGTCCAGGAGCCCAAGGCCCACAGAGTAACGGTCCTGTCTCTGCCTTGCAGAGACTCCGTCCCTGGCGGTGCCCTTGGAAGACCGCGTGGTGTCCGCGGGGGAGACGGTGGCGCTCCAGTGCAAGGCGGCGGGGAGCCCTCCGCCCCGCATCACCTGGTTCAAAGGGGACCGCCTTCTGAGCCTCACCGAGCGTCACCACTTTACCCCCGGCAACCAGCTGCTCGTTGTGCAGAACGTGGGGGCCGAGGATGCGGGTCGGTACACCTGCGAGATGTCCAACGCTTTGGGCACCGAGCGGGCGCACAGCCAGCTGAGCGTGCTGCCCAGCCCTGGCTGCAGGAAGGACGGGACCACCGTGGGCATCTTCACCATCGCTGTGGTGTGCAGCGTGGTCCTGACGTCCTTAGTCTGGGTGTGCATCATCTACCAAACCCGGCGGAAGAGGGAGGAGTACAGTGTCACCAACACAGGTACCTGCTGGCGGATGGCTTCGGGGAGGAAAGCAGGGACCTGGGGAAGGCCGTGCAGGGCTTCCTGTATGTGTGAACTCTCTAGGGCACATGTGTCAAACACAAGGCCCGCGGGCCAAATCCGTCCCGCCAGGCCTTGCAATGTGGCCCGCACCGTGCTGTCATCACTGCACTCGGCTGCGTTTCCATCACAATGACAGTTTATGACTGTTCAGTAAACCATTCGGCCCGCGATTTAGGCTGGATTTTAGATTTTGGCCCCTTCTCTGATTGAGTTCGACACCCCTACGGGGAGGAAAGCAGGGACCTGGGGAAGGCCGTGCAGGGCTTCCTGTATGTGTGAACTCTCTAGGACCTCAGGGAACCTACAGCCATTCTGGACAGTGACCTTTAGTGTTTTAACTCCCAGGAATGGGACATTAGATGGGAAGGCTGTCAAATGCAGCACTGGGAGCTCTGCAGGCTCCACCTGGGGTGGTCAGAGGCGTCCTGGGCGGGTGCCTCGTTGCTGTGGGGGCCGTTACTGCACAGCTCCATGTCGGTCACTATCCCTGCCATCACTGCTTCCTCTGTGCCCTGGGATCTGCTGGCCACACCTTTCACTCCTGGTTAGAGTGCACTGGGGAGGCTCCTGAGCAGGACTCCAGGCTCTGCATGGCCGGGACTGCTGCCCTGGGGGTCCTGTGTCTGTGACCTTGTCACCACAGGACTGGGACCTGGGATGACTGTCCTGTCTCCTTGCAGATGAGACCGTGGTGCCGCCGGATGTTCCGAGCTACCTGTCTTCTCAGGGGACCCTTTCTGACCGGCAGGACACTGTGCTCAGGACTGAGAGTGGCCATCAGGCCAATGGGCACGTCGAGAGCAATGGTAAAGCCAGAGAGTCTGATGCACTGTTCCCAGGGCGTTCCCTTGAGCATATTTGACCTGGGAGGCAGGTGACCTGAGCCTCTGGGTTTTGGACTTCCCTTTGCAAGTCAACCCTAGGAAGTCCCTCTGTTGGGCTCAGTGCTTCTTAAGAGCCTTAGCTCCTCCAGCAGCTCTCCCGGGTGACCGCTCGTGGGGACAGTGTGTGCTCGGCACCCGTGGCCCCGGGGCCTCCTGCGCGGCTGCGGCAGGGCTGCTGCTGGGAAGGAGGCTCGGAAACGGCCTGGGCCACCCCTCGAGGGGCATTTAGAAACACCCGCCTTCTAGCAGCGATGCCCACTCTTCATAGTGTGCCCGGGAAGTGCTGAGCCCGGCGCTTCCAACAGTGTGGCGCTCTGTTGCAGGTGTCTGTCCGAGAGACGCAGGCCTCTTTCCAGAGGCCGGTGGTCCCGGCATCACGTGCAGGCAGCCCCGGCTCTGTGTTGGGTACAGCAAGGAGCCGTGGAGAGCGACAGAGAAAGCCGGCGGCACACCTGGTCCACAGAAGATGGGTGAGATGCTTTCTCAGGAAAAGGGTTTTGTCCCTCAGATCCCAATCTGGGTTGACCTCAGAGTGAGGCATTATGGGTCTAAGGCCATCCCAGGATTGGGTTTCCATGTTAAACAGGAAGTGGGGCGGGCCTGGCTCTGAGTGTGAGGGGGATGTCTCTAAAACACCCGGTGGCACGGACTTTCCCGGCCTTCAGCGGAGCCCTGTGGAGGCTCCTTGCTGATGGGTCAGAAGCTCCTGATGCTGCAAGGAGCCATTCAGATAGGATTTCTCCCTGGGATCCCAGTTGTCTGACGAAATTAAATCTGAAATAAGCATGGAAGACCCCATGTTTAGCCCCAGGGGGTTGTGGTGACCTCAGCGGGCCCACCCTGGTTCCGGGGTGCAGTGGGCTGGGGGTGGAGGCCCAGGCACTGGTGCTCAGTCTCCACCGTGTCTTGCAGAGCCCGATGGCCCGGCTGTATGCAGTGACAGCAACACTGACGTGGACACTTACTCCAAGGACCACGCCTTCTGTCCTCAGCCGACTTCCAGGGACAGCACACAGCCAGACACACCGAGCAGCCAGGAGCCTCACAGGAGTGACCGAGAACATTCTCCAAGTCCGAACAGTCTCCACAGTGGGACTGGTGATGGGTCTCACCCGGACTGCAGGGAGTCCCTCTACCCCAGTAACCATGACAGAATGCTGCCGCCCTGGAAGAGAAAGCCAGGGGCACCTCCGGAGGGGAAAGGTGAGCCTTCACTGCCTTCCCGTCCCCAGCAGGGGACAGCACGGAAGCGCCAGGCCAGCTCTGATGGGCCCTCTCCTTTCTTGCAGGGGCCCTTCCGTGGATGTTCGCAGGGGTGTGTGAGCCAGACTCCACGGACCCCCAGCCAACACTGAACCCTGGCAGTTCTGAGCTCACACAGGCCGCCCTGGACTCTCCAGACGCCCCCAGTGAAGGTCGGCACTTGCTTCTGCCGAATGGACACGTCCCCAAGGCAGGTGACTCCAGTCCCGAGTCCACACCACTGACAGGACAGCCGCCCGGGAGCCGGAGTGGGCCGCTGCTATTTGCCCCGAGGGCCTAGGCGCTGTGTCTCCAGGAGGGAGGAGGCGTGCTGTGGGAAGCTTGGGTTCAAGCGTCACTCTGTACAGTTTTAACTTCCGTGGGGAGTGTCTGTAGTGTAAAGGACTTGCAGCTGAAGCACAGAATGCAAGAGGCTGTGGTGTACATAAGAGTTTTCAGAGGTTTCATATATATTATATATCTTTTACAAAGGATATTTTAATCTTTATTGCATGGTTAACAAAAAATCGTACAGTTTTGACAATATTATTTTTCATATCAGGTTGCTGTTTCATTTTGGAATGTGGGGATAGTTCTGGTGCCTTAATGCATGGGTGAGATTTATAGACGCTAAAACCACATTTGCTTCTGGGGTGGTGTGGGGAGGAGGCGGCCCTCGGACTCCATCACACGTGGCAGGGCAGACCCGGATGCTTCACGGGCAGAGCTGGGTTTGCGTCGAAGTACCTCACATCAGCCACAGGAGCTCAGGGTGCTCCTCGCAGACCTCCTCCCTCGCCCAGACCTCGCACGCCACACTCTCTGCACGAGAGACACTTCCTCAGGCTCGAGCTCTTCCTTAACAAGCGCTGGGGGTGTTAATCACCACAGCCTGTGGTCTGAACCATTAGCCTGCCTGCCTTCTGTGACAAAGCGAATGTTTGTCAGGATCACTTGATTGTCATTTGAGGTTTTCTGATAAGATAGAGGCTGCTGCTGTGGGTACCTGTGGATTTTTCAGTAGTGATGTGTTAGTTCTGCCAACGTGATGAGTATTACGTGGGTGTAAGGGAGAACGAGGATCAGGTCCTCACTTTCAGGGCCAGGGGGCTCATCTCCACGGAGCATCTGGGCGCCCTGTGCGCTTCCCTCCCTTGCACAGACGAGCCCGTGCCTTGGGTTCTGGGGGATTTGCACTTGGGAGGCCTGGAGCTAACCACCTGTGAGTGCCAATGGGCTTTGTGGGAAAACTGCATTCACACTAACAAGGTCCTTAGAAGCCGGCAAGCAAAGTCCTTCAGCCGGTGCCTGAAGCACTAGTAGGTACTGAAAATGGTTACATGTTAATTCACTGTCAGATAATCACTGTCCCAAAGGTAAGCACAGTTAGAATTTTGTTCTCAACAGTTAACTGATGTTACTTCCACAACATGTGAATTTGCTGCTTCTGAGAGGCAATGTGAAAGAGGAAGTATTACTTTTATGTACAAAGTTATTTATTTATAGAGATTTTGGTACAATGTACATTGAAAAACGTGTAAAATACTGAGTGTCTAACAAGGGCAGTGAAGTGTCTTTAATAAAGTTCACTTACAAAGTTAAGTGTGTGGCTTGGGTCATGTGTACATTAGCCAGCACTGCCTCGCCCACGGAGTCCCAGGAGCGCCCTGACAAGTGCAGTCCCTCTGCCTGGACCGCATTTGGAATCAGCGATGACGCAGCAAAGCAGATCACATACTGCGGCTCCCAGCAGGCTGTGTGAGGTTCCCGGGACTCCAATTTTCTGGAGCTTATCAGTCAAGCTCTAAAACGGGGACCTTCCCCATCCATCCTACTCTCTCCCAAGGTGAGCTCAAAACTCCGGGCAAAGCTGACGGACTGCGAACTAAGAAATGACACTGTGAAGCCGGCCCAGCTGCCCTCAGGCCCCAGCATGCCCTCCCCCTCCAGCCCTGGGGCCCACCGGTCACTGAGCGCTACTGCTCGCTGCTTCCATAGGTCTCCTGGGCCTCTGGACACCTGTCAAATTCAACTGTTCTCATGGGTTAAATCTGTGGGTTGTCGAGAACAGCCAGGTTACCCGCTCACAGGCCCTGTAGTCACGCTTTCTAAACAAAGCTGTGAGCTTACAAAGAGCTTATCTCACATGACAGTCTCCTGTCCTCCTCTAGCCCTTCCTCGGAAGATACCCTTTTGCCTTCCTTCAGTCTGCTGCCGGGCGGCAGGGAAGGAGGGGCAGACACAATCAAATGAAAGCTCGGAGGGGCCGGCCTCAGATCACCAGACTTATTTATTAAGGGTCCTAGGAAAACCGTTAACAGAACTGCTCTCGGCATCATTTTCTCTCTTTAACTTTCGGGCAAATACGTAGATGACGTCATCCCAGCTGCCTGTGGCCTGGAAGTCGTGCTCCGTGTAGGCCTGTGGAGACGGCCTCACTGCCTGCGTGTTCAGAGGGCCCAGCGGCTGTGGGAGGGGGACCTCTCACCTCGGCCCCCTGGAGGTGTGGCTGCAGGAGGGAGCGCTCACAGTGGCCCCCTGTAGGCATGGCTGTAGCATGCAGTTCACGGGCTCTCTCTGCCGAGCTCTAACAGCAAGCTATGCGTTTGGTCATAAGCGCCAAGAAAGATGAAGCCTCCCAGGCTGATGGCTGCCATTCGCGGGAAGACCCCTGCAAATAATCTGGGGGGGAAAGCAAAAGAGATTTTTTCTTGTGTGTGTAAAGAAGGTGAAATTCCAATACCCACAGCTTGTTCAATTCAACACACCATGCTCACTAAACCCCACACAGTATTAGAAGGTGTGTTTTTCCTTTTAGAATAGCACCACGTACATTCCCAAGTAGACCTGTTGGTGAATGTGGCTACATACCAAACAGCTTGCTTGTGAGTGCTCACAAGTCAAATAATTAGTCAAGAAATAGTAGCCCTGAAATTCTGGTGGAGAGAAACCAAGATGGTAACTGCCCAACTGCAGCCTCACACAACAATTTCAAAAAATGCAACTAAAATATAAAGTGGACATTATCCAGAACTACAGGAAAGTTGACTGACTGGAAATTCTACAACGAGAAGGAAAGAGAAAACCAGAAGGAAAATCAGAGGAGCTGTAAAGGCCTAAGGTACAGAGACACGTTGCGCACGGAGAGGACGGAGCTGGAGAGGAGGGGGAGGCTGAGTGCCTGGCTGGCGTTCCCTAGCAGGAAGGATATAAAAGCTCCGGACTGTGCTGAACCCCAGTTCTGAGCGAGACCCTGGGGACCCAGACACGCACAGAGGGAATCTGGGCTGCAGCTCGGGGAGCAGCGAAAGGTAGAGCCCTGGAGTCACGCACATTGTGGGCAGAGGACAGACTGCTGATTGAGCCGCTGGATTGCCCTCGGTGGAAGGAGACATAAGCCCCGGACTGCTCTTAACCCCACTTCCAACTGCACTGAACCCCAGTTGCGGGCTCGTTGTGGGAGAGACTAGACTGTCTGGTAGCAGGTGAAACTCTAGGGCACCTTTCTCTCAGGTGTTTGCAGCGAGTACCGAAGGACACTGGGGAACAATAAGACTCAGGAACCTCATAGGGTGGGGCTAACTGGAAGCCAAGGCTGTAGGCTCCACCCTGAAACTCCGCCCCATCCAAGCTGAGCACAGAGGCTCTTGCAGTTTTCCAAGTCTAGTCGAATAAGGCTGGCATAGATACAGCTGATCCTCCCACCCTACCAACTCAGGAAAGCAGCGAAAATGCCAAGACAAGGAAACAGATCACAAATGAAAGAAATGGAGGACAAAAAGCAACTGGATATAGAGTTCAAAACCACGCTTATAAGGTTTTTCAGGAATCTCCTAGAAAAAGCCGATAAAATAAACAAGACCTATGAAGATATGAAAAGGGATCAACTAGAAATAAAGAATACATTCTCTGAAATAAAAAATATTATAGAGTCCTAAAAACAGAATGGAAGATTGCAAGAATCAAGTCAAAGATTTGGAACACAAAGAGCCAGAGGCCACTCCTCTGAAGAAGCAAGAAGACAAGAGAATCCAGAAAGTTGAAGATAGTGTAAGAAACCTCTGGGACAACTTCAACCGAACCAACATCAGAATTATGGGGGTCCCAGAAGAAGAGAGAGAGCAAGATACCGAAAACATATTGAGAGAAATAGTGACAGAAAACTTCCCCCACCTGGTGAAAGAAATAGACTTATTAGTCTAGGAAGTGCACAGAACCCCAAACAAAAGGAATCCAAAGGGGACTACACCAAGACACATCATAATTAAAATGCCAAGAGCAAAAGACAAAAGAATATTAAAAGCAGCAAGAGAAAAGCAAGTAGTTACCTATAAAGGAGCACCCATATGATTGTCAGCTGATTTCTAACGGAAACCATGCATGCCAAACGGGAATGGCAAGAAATATTCAAGGTGATGAATAACAAGAACCTACAGCCAAAAATACTCTACCCAGCAAAGCTATCACTCAGAATTCAAGGCCAGATAAAAAGCTTCACAAATAAAAAAAAAAGGTAAAGGAGTTCATCACCACCAAACCAGAATTATATGAATAGCTGAAGGGGGTTCTTTAGGAGGAGGAAGAAAATAAAGATAAAAATTATGAACAACAAATACGTAACTATCAACAAGTGAATCTAAAAACCTGATTAACAGTATTAACTGTTGAATATAATAATCAGAGGTACGGAAGGGGAGTGGACTGACAATTCGCGAGGAAAAGAGGAGTTGCGGGTGCGGGAAGAGCCTGAAAAAAATTGTGCACCTATGGATGAGGACAGTGGGGGGTGGGGAAAGGGCAGAGGGTGGGGTGGGAACCTGGTGGAGGGGATATGAACAATAAAGATTTATTAAAGAAAGAAAAAAGAAATAGTAGCCCTGTCCCCACAATAGTCCCGTTTAAACCTCCAGACTGTATTTGCCTTTTAGAGATGATGGAATGAACTTGGATAAGGAGTCAAAGGACACACTATGCTGGAAGGCCAGGTGGTCTTGGGGGCTAGAGAAGGTTTCAGATGACTCAGTTGATCCTCCCAGTGACTCAGGCACATTGGGCCCTGAGAGACCACCAGGAGGATGCACAGCAGGGGGCAGGAGAAGAAGGGAAGGGGCTGGGAAGGGAGTCGGTTAGCCCCTAAGCACCTCCGGAGGAGTCACTGGGACAGTTGCAACTTTGGAATAATTATGGCCATGCAAGCTAACAGTCGTGCTCCCAGGACCAAACTGGAATTACAACTAAAATACAGAAGACCCAACTCTGAAAAATCAAGGTTGGAGAGAACCCTGACAACTGAGGATGGAAAGCAGACACTGCATAGAGACTGGTAGGAGGGGCAGAGGAGAGAAAGGGCTGGAGGGTTCCCACAGTCAGCAGCTGAAGTCCCAGAAGGATATGTCAGCTGTGGGGGATTCCCACTGAGAACTCTGGGGGCCTCCATGGGCTTCCCAGCAGAGAGCACCAGAACTGAGAATGGTACCCACATAACACCTGGCTGTGAAAAGCAGCAGGGTTGCTGCCTGCCAGGGGGAAAGGGCAGGAAATACAGGCACCCTGTATTTAGTAAAGGGCCAATACACAAAATTCCATGTTCAGCCACTCACCTTGTGCTCCAACAGAGGGAGAGCAGAGTAGCTGGAGCTGTATACACATAAGCCAGGGTTGGGGATCCTGGTATAGAGCTCGGAAGGCAGACACCTCAGTTTCCTATGCTGAGTCATTCCCTCACACTGTGGAGGTTATACCTTTCTCAGGCCAACTTTTGTTATCCTGCTGGTTTTGCCTGCGGGGAAGACAGTTGACCCACCCAAGTGGAAAGTCCCTTGCCCCACACTGGAGTTTCTGAGAATAACTAGCCTCCAGGGAGAAGCAATTGCCCCACCTTATTGGAAAACCTCTCACCCCACCTATGAAGAATTGCATGAGGATACCCAAGACTGACTCCAATCTATCTCCAGGCAGAGGTGAGTCTCTGGAGGCTTTGAGTCTTTGCCTGATCTAATTAGTAACAGCTATTGGGTCCCCACTGCCGACATTATCCCAGACTGCTCAGGCAGAAAAAAACTAACAAGAGCCATAGCACCTGCAGCTGACACCTGTGGAACCAGCTCTTTGGGGGAAGGAAGCACAGCACAGAACAGAGTCAATCAAAGCAGACTCAAAGCAGATCCAGGTTATGGATAAGGAGTCCCCAAACACTGGGCAGCTGGCATGATGACATTGGGGTTGAACCTCTGGTGGCAAGTTGGAAGGGAGATCCCTCCTACAAATGGGACATCGATAATCAAGTCCTAATTACAACAAGAGAACACAACACACACAAGAGGCTTTCTTAGAGCATCCAGCTAAGGAGAACAAAGAAACTACACCACAGGACCCCTCAAGACACTTTCTACATATGACCATCCCACAAAGACTTGGAGACATAGCAGTTCTATGTAAGAAATAGGAGCAAATACAAAGAGATCTAATATGGGACTTTTCAGTCCTCAAGCCGATGCTTGACAGAAACCCCCAAATGAGAGAAAAGAAGGAATCTCCAGAAAAAAAAAACTAAATGAGGTAGAGACAAGCATAAAGTTCAAAGCAATGGTTATAAAGAACTTAAAGGACTTAGCACAAATTGCAGCAGCATGAAAAAGGAAACAGAATCCATAAACAAGACAGAAATGAAGAGTGATCTGTCTGATGCGAAGAACACACTGGAAGGGATTAGAAGTAGATTGGAGGAAGCAGAGGGCCGAGTCAGCAATTTGGAAGACAAGGTAGAAATACCCAATAAGAGCAGCAAATAGAAAAAAAAAAAAAAAAAAAAAAAAAAAAAAAAAAAAAAAAAAAAAAAAAAAAAAAAAAAAAAAGAAAAAAAAAAAGCGGGAAGATAGCTTAAGGGAGCTCTAGGACAACATGAAATGTAACATCCACATGACACAAATACCAAAAGGGAAAGAGGATGAGCAAGGAACAGAGAATATGAATAAAGAAATAATGATAGAAAACTACCCCAACTTGGTGAAGGAAAATGTCACACAAATTGAGGAGGCAGAGTCCCAATGAAGATGAAACCAGAGAGACCCACATCTAGATACATCGTAATTAAAATGGCAAATGCTGCCAAAACTGGTTTGGCTCAATGGATAGAGCATCGGCTTGAGGACTGAAAAGTCCCGGGTTCGATTCCGGTGAAGGGCATGTACCTTGGTTGCGGGCATATCCCCAGTAGGGGGTGTGCAAGAGGCAGCTGATCGATGACTCTCATCAATGTTTCTAACTCTCTATCTCTCTCCCTTCCTCTCTGTACAAAATCAATAAAATATATTAAAAAAAATAAAATAAAATGGCAAATGTTGAAGACAAAGAATCTTAAAGGCAGAAAGAGAGAAAATTACATAAAATGGAGTCCCCATTAGAATGTCAACTGACTTCTCAAGAGAAGCACTTCAAGCCAGAGGGAGTGGAATGAAGTACTCAAAGTAATGACAAGCAAGGGCCTAAATCCAAGACCACTGTTTTCAGCGAGGCCATCATGTAAAATCGAAGGTGAAATAAAAAGCATTCCCTGCCTATATTTCTGGGATAATTGAGCTTTTTTAACCAAGAGTATTACTTTTTTAACCAAGAGTATAAGGAAAACAAAATTACAAAATCTGCAGAAGTAAATTTACTAGTGAAAAGATCAGGTCTAGGGGAGAAAATGGACACCAGCCAGGCTATGCCAACAGCAGTTTCTTTTCCCAGAGACGGGGAAGCCACTGTGGAAAGCTCGGCGGTGGCCCCCACACAACAGAAGGAGCCCGCCTGCCCGCCACGCTGCCCAGCTGCTTCCTGTCTGCACTGTGTTTCAGGAGGGCAACCTGCCTCCCTCGTGTGCAGAAAGTGGACCTCAGGGTAGTGTGAGCAGGTCCTTATTTTATCTTCATTTATTTATTATTTTGTTAATCCTCACCGAGGATTATTTTCCATTGATTTTTAGAGAGAGTGAAAGAGAGGGGGAAAGCCAGAGAGAGACATCTATACGAGACACGTGGAATGGTTATCTCCTGCATGTGCCCTGACCGGGGCCAGAGATCAAGCCTGCAACCCAGGTGTGTGCCTTTTACTGGAATTGAATCCAGGTCCTTAAGGTCTCAGGTCAATGCACTATCCACTGAGCCAAACTGGTAGCGCAATGGGTCCTTATTTTAATTATCTAAGGATTTAAATCATTAATTAAAATACTACAGATAAAATTAGACCTCTTTTTCTTACTTAGAAATAACCATGAAAATTCTATAGACTAAAATACACTTGTAAGAAAAAAGTTGTTCATTTCAGCATCATGCAAATTTTTACATGAGGTGATTGGCGAGGACAGAAACTCATAAATTACCACTTTGAAGCCACTGTGTCCCTGTGGCCTGAGCAGAGCCACTGCTTGCAGAGGCACAGGTGAGGCGGGAAGACTGGGTGCGAGGTCTCCTGTTCCATTACACCTGACTCCCCTCTAAAGCCAGTGTCTGGGTTCGGCTTTTGCTGTGTGAGCTCAGCAGCAGCTCCTGGCCAGAGGCAGATGGAAGCAGCCCATGGTTTCTTCAGAGACAATCGAATCGTTTAACATAACTACTGCCTTAAGAGTAATGTGTCCAGTGAGTGCCCCAACCAGATTCGGAGGCAAAGACTTCAACAGGCAGGGCTGTCCGATTGAGCAGCTGAAGGAGATGGCAGACTTACGCTGCTCGGCAGGGAGCCGGCGGCGAAGCAGCAGATGGTGGACAGAGGGAAGGTGGGAAGGCGCTGCAGGCTGAGCAGCTCCCAGCACTCTCTCTGCTGGGCCAGGTGAGCACGCGGTGTGGCACTTATCCTGGAGAAAGCACGTGCGAGCCAGGACTTGGAATGAACCAACACGAGAGACCAAAGTGTCACCCTTCCCACTTCCTGAGGTCAGCACCACGCCACCTGGACACCATGTCCACAGCGCTCAAGGGCAAGAGGAGAGGTCTGACCGCGAGTTGCATAAACTTGATAGGAACTATATTGAAATCAGTGAGTGGGATTCGCAACTTGACTTGGTCTAGCACTGCCGCATGCCACGCCTCTGGGGCCCAGACCACCTGGGCCAGTGAGAATCCTACCGGCTACTAACCAGGCTGCTTCACACCTCTCTCTCTCACTCTCTCTGCTCAGTGTGGAATTGGTGTCCAAATGGGCCTCAGCGCTGAGCATCAGGCCATAAGTCCTCAGGATGGTGGCCGTCAGTGGCTGAATGGCACAGGGAAACCGCTCTGCCCTTCCCCCTCCTGAGGGTTCCTTTCTAAGCACAGTTCTTTTCTGAAAGTCTTTGCGTCCTCAGAGCTGCCACTCCCCATCCATCCATCCATCCATCCATCCATCCATCCATCCATCCTTCCATCCACCCCTGCCAGCTTGCCAGACTCCCAGCTGGGAATTCTGAGCAGAGGGTGGACCATTCCGCTGCAACTGTCTTACCTGGGCCTAACCAGCAGCAAATGGTCCCCAAGCTACCCACTGGCTGAAACACACCTGCCCAGTGCTCACAAAACCGCAATCCAATGGAGAGGCACCCGGCCCCACCACACTCTGCACCCATCCACACCAGCCGGCCTGTCACTAGGCTCAGTCCCAACCCTGCTCCAGACCGGACTGCGGCTTTGCTCTCAGAATTCCCACTGATGATTCCCGAGAGAAATGGCAACTCTATCTGTGCAGAGCCCAGCGCTGTATGCTGAGCCCAACTCTGTATCTGTGCAGACCTCAACCTTGTGTGGGATGAACAATGCGGAAATGACACTTTGGGGAGAGAGCCCCTAAGGCTGTGACGCTAAAGGTCTGGGTGCTCAGCTGATCGCAGCCCGGAGTGTCTCCAACGAGGGGTCAGCACGGCGGATGCGGAAGGTAACCTGTGCAGGATCCACGTGCCCAGGCCACAAAGGCTCCCTCTGAGTGCTCTGCTCGCCCCTGCAGTCCCTGCCTCACAGACCCGGACCAGGGCGTAAGCAGAAGAGGAGAAAGGCGTGTGTCCCATGTCAGGCTGCGGGGGACCAGCTGGTGGAGAGCAAGCCGCCGCGCCCCGTGCTTACCCTGGCAGCCCCTGGGCGCGCCAGACCCCGTGCAGGGCAGAGAGGACGTTCCCGCCGGCTGCGCTGGACCCGGCCTGCAGGGAAGGAGAGAGGACGCAGTTACCTTGTGCAAGTCCCAGTGATGGGCGTCCTCAGAGGCAGGCAGCCTGCCCCCCTCACCTAGGGCGGCTCCAAACAGAGGGAGGGCCCGGGAGAGTCAGGGCCCCCGAGTCTCGCTACACCAGACGGGCTCACAGTAAGCCCACGGGCAGGCTGGCCCCTCTGCTCCACTGGTGTCTCATGGCCACGAGGGGCCGGGCAAGCCAGGCAGCTCCTGTGCCGCCCGGGCAGGAAGGTCCCCGAGAGCCGCAGCAGGTCTCTGAGAACATGGTCTGCTATGGTCAGCTTATGGTCTGCCTGGGACACGGACCGAGGAGCTGACAGACCCGCTGTCCATAGCGCCTCGCTCGGCGTGAAGCCTGGTGCACGCTCAGGAAGCCCTGTCGGCCCATGTGCTGGAATTCTGCTCTTGTTCATTTCCCACTGGGGAATGACTATTTTTTATTGTTTTGGTCCAGATATGTTATATGTGGCGTCCCCTGAAGTCCGTAGCTTTTTGAAAAAAAACTGTTTCTTTTTCCTGAAGAGATCTAACAGTTCTGACCAGTCCTAATGCGTCCAGTCGGCCGGCCTGGCTGCACGCTCACTACTGGCGGCGGAGCAGGCCCGGGCGCTGCGCTCAGAGACCGGTGCGCTCACCGCAGAGGCCGCAGCCCCCTGCCCACAGGACGTGGTCGGAAATGACCGGGAAGGTGGAATGCTGTGGGCATGGCCGTGTGATGACGGACACTGTTTGCCAGCAGCTCCCCAGGCAGCACAGGGCGGTTTCCCTTCGGTCACTCTGTTCCTACGAGCCCTAGTGCCTGCAGGCAGGAGCAGGGGCTGTGCCTTCATCACCTATTTTACCACTCACCTTCGCCAACATGATTCTTGTCTTTGCCACATCCAGGGGCGTGGTGACCACAGCTGCAAATCCACCTGTCACATAAAGCCCGGGCACAGGGCTGCTCATTACATGGCACTTACAGATTTCATTTTATATTCCCCATCATGCTGCCCAGATCACTCCTTTATCACTACGCCCACTGACTGGTTCAAGAGCGAGATGCCACATGGAAACATGTATCCACATGCCACTGCTTCTTGGTGAACCCGCACTGCATGGCAAGGTGACAGGTCCTGCTCTCCCTGCTCAGGCCCCGAGCCCACCACAGCCTGGCTCTGCGGAGCAGGAGACAGCGTGTCCCACGGTGGCGGCTGCGGCAGGCTCCCGCTCGCAGTGACAGCGGCCTCTCCCGGGGGCGGAGGCCAGGCCTCCTGCCGCCTCTGTTCTCTGTCTGACTCCAAAACGCTCCCATGGCTTCTGCTGAGGCAGGTGGGCAAACGTGTCTGCCCCGGTGGGGGGTTCTGGCATAAACTGGCTGGATGCTTTGAGGTAAAGACATTTCCACGCGCCCAGGCTGCTGGTGGCAGGCAGTGGGGAGCGATGCTAAGCCCACTCTGCCCTGGGCAGAGCCAGTGCTGCCCTGATGACCGCTATCTCGTGGCTCCTTCCTACTCCTCTCCTGTGGCCCCGGGACTGTCTACCACCCCCACTTTTAAATGGGGTCCAGTCTTTGGTCAGTCAAACAACAAACAGAACCCACATACATGGTGCCAATATTCTAATTAATCTGATACAAAGACAGGTTTTAAACCCCAGGAGGCCCTAAGAAGGTAGAAATAATAAACTCAGGGGACGTTTACAGACTCCGCACCCATGGGCGGGGTGGAGTGGCGGTCTGTCAGAGGCGGCACAGCGCATGTGTGGAGGATGCTCCAGGAATAGCACCTCTCCCTCCAGCTCCGGGGCAAGTGGGCACAGAGGGCATCTGATCTCTGCCAAATGTCTTCCTAAATAAATTGTTAAAGAGCAATCTTTACATGAACCTCCGCCATCTGCTAACTCTGAGATGACAACTTCTTAAAGACGTACACACGTTTCTATGTCCCACTTTTGGTTACCCACAAATGACACACATTTAGGGCTGAAGAGGACCAATAACATGAATAATGAGTCTCCCCTTTTAAGGCACTTTTGTATGAGTATGTGAAACATTTTTCTGCAGATTAAACAGTTGCCTGATAACTGAAAGCATTGGCTAAATTTCAAGTATTTTAAAATTTTGTGGACCCAGTCCTGAAATCCTACAATTTTAATTTTTAAACCCCATTTTCTTCACTAAAAGAGAATATATACTTTAAGTACAGATAGGGGTCCAGGAAGGCTTCACATCCATTTAGACAAAAATCTTAAGGAAGGAGGCAGCCCTCACCCTGGACCCTCACCCCTGACTGTCTTGTTTCCGGGGTTGGCTGAGACACTGGCTGCCGGGCCTGGCTGAGACCCTCCTTCAGAAAGAGCATGGCTCCCCGCTCCGGGGCTCCCCGCTCCCGGGCTCCCGGCTCTCGGGCTCCCTGCTCTCGGGCTCCCCGCTCCCGGGCGGACCGGCCATGGGGAAGAGCCCTGCGGGCAGATGGGCACTGGCTGCCCAGGCTCAGGAGGGAAGAAGCGTGGAGAGCGAAGTCACCAGTTTTCCTCCTCGCAGAGCCGAGACGCGGGCTTTTCTGTCTGACTCCAGACCCCAGCTCTGGCCGCTGGGACTTCTGTAGCTCCATTTTTCATCTGGGACATGCAGGCAGCAAGGTGACACAGGTTAAACGAGTCCACGCATGTGTCTAGGGTGGTACTGGCGCACACTGGTGCTCAGCGTAACGAGCTCTTGTCTGGGTGGCAGAGGGTCTTCATGTCTCCAGCCAGCACACACAGTAGGGCCTCAAAATGCTCCCTGGGTGCCCTGGACCGGTGTCTGTAGTTCTCACAAACTGAAGATTTCAACGTGTCCTCTGAAAGGAGGTACGGGGGAGCTCCAAGCTGCTCGTTGTGCCAGCTCTGTGCCTGGACGTGGCCTGGCTACGTGCTGCCGTGGAGGGTTTGACCGTGGGGACAGCTGGCCCCGGGACCAGATAACGGAGTGGGCCTCGCTTAAGCTTTTCACTACATAAAGACTGTGACATTGGACATTAAAACTGACCCACTTGTTAACACCCAGAAGAGCACACACCGTTTTTTTTTGTTTGAAAATGTTCACAATCTGTCCTCGACCAACCAAGATGTCTTAAAGGCGGGCCCGGACACGCCCAGCCGCCCGCTCAGCCTGATGGTGGCCTGCAGTGAAGTGTGTCTTCTAATGCGGCTGGACACTGCAAGCAAAGGGCTGTGGCCATCAGCAAAGTCCCTGAGCCTTTACTGTGTATGTCTGCGGATTTTCTTAGCTTTCTGTCTCATCAGTAATGTGAAGAGGTGTTAAAGACAAAAGCACATATGTTTAAATAGGTCTTATTTTACTACCATGAGGACAGCTATTTTATGAAAGTGGATAATCAATTTGAATATCTTCAAATATCAAAGATTCCCCGAGTCACAGGCCTCGCCATTTTTATGAGGCGGCAGGACGGATGTGTAGGATCACGTCCTGGAGTAGCTGGTCATATGGGGGTGGGGGAGGACTGGCACTTTAGTTAAAACGTCCTGCTCTCCACAGGTGAAGTGCTGGTGACAACTGAGGGACCCGCTAGCACGCTGGCCAGGACAGCCGTCCGCTACGGCTGCGTGGCTGCTCCAGTGCTCAGACCCCAGGGAGGCCGTGCTCTCCGGGCCGCTCTGCATGGGCTCTATGGAAGGCCAGACCTGCTGCCAGGGGCAGATGCAGGGAACCAGGGGTCTGCGTGTGACTGCTGAGCGCTCCAGACCAAGGGCCAGGTCCCAGGGCAGGTCTGAGCTGCCTCGAGCAGCAGCTGCCAGCGTGGTCCCTGCGGCCCCTCCCTCCACACAGGCCCAGGGCAGGGCCAGGGCTTTACCAGCCAATGTGTTTGTTTTAAAGACTGTGCTGGGCCTTCCATTTACTCAGGTAAACCTTCACTCTATTCTAGAATTTCAAACCATGGGAAGACCTGTCTGTCTCATATCTACATCTCAGTCACTCTCCTCTCTTAGAGAATGTAAATTGGTAATTATAAAAATGTAATTATAAAAAACTGATCAGAGAGCACTAGAATAGCAATTACCACTCTAATAGCAAATGCCGTCATTACTTATGCTGAATTATGATCTTATGTTTAGATGTTAACGTGAAATGCGGAAGTTGGCAAAGTCCCTTTTCTTCCTAGTTTAACCCCAAGGGACCTGCTGAGCTTGACAAGCCATCAACACCTCCAATCTCAGGGGCCACTTCTGGGTATTTGTGCCAAGCAGTGCCCGGGCACAGAGTGCCAGGGAGGCCCAGATGACCAGGCACTCAGAAACGAGAAACCTGGCTTCTGATCTGAGGGCCAGCTTGCCCGCTGCTTTATGGCCACGATGACTGCAGAGTCCGGAAGTGCGCGGCCAGCCTGTGCGACCTCAGAGGGCGGCCGGACACAAGCCTCTGAGGCCGGGAGGCAGAGCCGCAGCGGCTCCTCCGGAAGCTCAGCTCACAATCGAGTGTTTCCTATGGCGGTGATCTTCCAGAAAGATCCAGTAGTAACTAATTCCTCAGGGTCAACACTGCACCAAGGAAACTTTCAGAACAAAAGGAAGAAACAAGAAATGTATTTTATCTTTTGCTAAATACATGCGGGTCTCCCGACAATGGATTTTGCAGACCTTGGATAAAAACTCCTTCGCTTATCAGAACCTCAGCTGAAAACGTAAGCTGACGATATTAGAGGAGATGACTGTGTACAGTAACTTTGTTAATACTATTCTTTCAAAGCAAGTGAAATGATTGTGACAGTTTCCATTTCCTGGGTGTTGGCTGTTCTTATTGAAATAGGAACGACCTTAGGTCTGTTCAGTGTTACTGATTACAAAGTACTAGCACAGGCCAGAGTACTGGAACCCTGGGGGAGGGAGGGAGGGCTGCTGCTACGTCACAGGTGAGAGAGCTGGTGCCCAGGATGCACCAAAGCCTCAATCCTTAGCCGGAAGCAGAACAAAGACTTGACAACTTTTGTTAAGTCCAACCAGCTGGCTGCAGGGCTGTGTGGTTCTGAGCAAGCCCTTCCTGCTCAGGTGGCGGCTTCTCTGCTGACACTGGGCACAGGGTGCCGCCTGCCTCCTAGGGCCTCGCTCCCAGGATCCAAGATCAGTGGCATCTCGTAGGTTCTTCCCCTTTCTGACCGATTTCAGTGCTCAGTGCCTGTTAGTAAGCATTATTCTGAAAAAGGAATGGTAACGGATGCTATTTCCTTAATAGAAACAATGCATTGTAAGCCAATATCTTGAATCAGTTACTTACGGAATGGGGCCGGAGAATAAGTACTTCCTAATTCGACAAGCGGAGGGTTTATGGTATTGCTAACTAAAAAATGGCCTTTCCTTATCCCAGCAACCACATCCTCAACTGCTCCCTGTGTCCCCAGGCCAGAGGGAGTCACAATGCCCACCCAGGGCGGGGAATGACTCCTCCAGAAAGCCAGTGCAGACCACGGACCCACTTAGCAGAGCTGATAACTGTGTCACATGGAAACACATCCCCTTCATCTCAATGGGAGCTGGCTGCATGTCTACAGGCAACGTTCTTATTGCTTACCATTTAATTCTACAAGTCAAGCGGGCCCAATTATTAATAAAGAATCCTATAAAATGTATGTTCCTTGTTTTCCTAATCACTACAACAAAAACCCCAATCCAACAACCATTAAACAAATTGAAAAAATAATTCTTTTCTAAAGTAGACATCTAAACTTCGTATCTATCAATGTACTACTGGCTTCACATCTACACTTGTAATTCACAGCTTTCTGGAAAACCTCCACTTTGATTTATATCAACTACAATTCTGATTTCTCTTAGAATGTTAAAGCTGCCACTTATTAAATTCCATACAGCCTCCGAGTTCTCATCAGAACCTCACTGGAAAAGGCCTACGACGTAGTGATGGATGACACAGGATTGCATATTGTCACTTTGCTCTTCGGTTAAAGTCTAGGAAATGCCCAGATGTTTCAATGTCCCTGTTTTCTACACAGCAGTTCAGCCGTCAGTACACTGGGGAGCAGCCCCCTCCTGGTGCCCGTTCATCTGCGTGCTGTCAAACATGTCAGGGCCGTGAGTCACTGCCGGCTGCAGGGTCCACTTAACCCCCCAGCACTGCGCAGGGCAGCCAGCTGCACAGGCAGCCCTGCCCACGGCCAGCCTCGCCCCCACAGATTTATAAATCATCGTCAGGATGATCCCAGGGCCTGAGTGAAGGCTTTAATAAAGATAAAAGAAAACGAAAAAATTTGTCAAAAACAAATTGGTTGTCTTTCAAGGAGACACCTTTTTAGGTTTTTCATTTTCCTAAGACACTTGCTTTTCTCAAACAATTAGTGGAACTCTCTTCATCTGAACAATCTGGAATTTCTAAAGAATGTTGTTTTTGCAGAGTTAATATTTTCACATTTCCCCCCTCTCTGGTCTTTCCCAGTATAATATAATCCTTTGCACCTGCAAAAGCTCCACAGACTGCTGACTGCCAAGATTCCACCACACGGTCCTGCCTCCAGGACCAGAGGGCCTGTGTTAAAGAGGAAGAAAAAGACAGTTATTAAATATTTGAATTTATCGCAACCTCCTGTGGGTGAGCCCTAGGGATGGGAACTTAAGTGGGAAGCTATTTTGGTGGCATTCCTCACTGATGACATAAGTGATTTTCCCAAGGACTTAACCACATTCTAAAATAAGACAAAGAAACAGGGGAGGTAGCTACATTAGAGAGCTCGAAGGAAACACGTTTTGGGGAGTATATATGATATACCACACATATACTCACACATGGTGCACATGTGTATAAATATATATTCTTTTAAACTTTTTCTAAAATATATTTTTATTTATTTCAGAGAGGAAGGAAGAGGGAGAGAGAGAGAGAAACGTGGATGGTGAGAGAGAGTCATTGATAAGCTGCCTCCTGCACGTCCCACATTGGGGATCAAGCCCACAACCCGAGCATGTGCCCTGACTGGGAATTGAACCATGACCTCCATGAACCATAGGTCTACGCTAAACCACTAAGCCATGCTGGCCAGGCCAAGACAATATAACATTGTAAATATTTCCCATATAATTCTGAACATATGTCATAATCCACAAATTAGTCCAGAGCAGCGTATGCCAAAATTCTTGTTGTTTTTTCAATCTTTATCCATGTTGCATGTTTGAAGGCTGCTAATTCTGTTATTAAAGTTTGTAAAAAAAATTGTTTGCACTGTTCCTGAAGTTGAGGATTATACAATTAAGTAACCATGCCAAACCTGAAATTAGGCGAAGTGGTGGCCGTGGCACGGTGCCTTGCTCGCCAAGCATTTACAGTGCCGCAGCTGAGACAGCTGGTCTAATCTCTGAGCACTGACAGCACCCGTCCCGGAAGCAGTCAGGGAGGAGATGGTGGCAGAATAGCAGACCTTTCTTGCACCTCCTCCCAGGGCCAGACTGGAAATAAACATTCACCCAGAATTACCTGGGAGGAGGAGGCTGGTGTCCAGGAAGGACAGAAAACACCTGGAGCCCAGTAGGAAGGGCGAGGTGGAAAAGGGGCTGGCCCGGCTTCCAGGGCAGCAGGCAGCAGGCAGCAGGCCAAGAGTGAAGAGAGATCGCAGGGCTACGGGAGGCCTTTTTCCCAGAGAAGATTCAGGCCTGAAACCCAGTGTGGCCACCACAGCCCAGAGCACCAGCGCAGGGAACACAGCCCAGTACCACCCCCGTGAAAGGCAGCAGGGCTTCCTGCGGCTGGGGAAAGCAGAGCGGGTCTGAGATAAAGCCTCAGGCTTTTTGTTGTTGATGATTTTTAACCCAGAGCACAGGATTTTCACTTGCAGCTCCTCACCTGAGGGAGGGAGGGCAGTGCGGACTCCAGGTGCCTAAGGAGAGGCTGAGGTGGGAAGCATTGGGGGGAGACATGGAATAGCAGCAGCTGAGAGTCCTGCATTCGAAAGTACACCCCCACACCCCCAAAACAAAATACACATTTTTCCTGAGAGGTGCAGGCCCCTCCCAGAAGCCATAGGTCAGGAAAAGGAAGTAACTCCACCCTAGAGATACAGCCCTGCCTGCCACACCCGGCACCTCGGCCTTCACTGAGGAGAGGAGGCCACGTCTACTGGTTTGAACAGCCTCAGGGAGCATCAGTGACTGGCTTGGGGTGGTGCCAATCACCCCACTATCCCGGGAACCTGACTGGTGCTTTCCCCTCACTGGAGAGCTGATAGGAACTCGCGGTACCCAGCCCGTCCCACAGTGACTATGAGGATCTCCACCCGCTGAGGGCAGGGAGATATTCTGGGTCACTCTCACAGGATTAGCTCTAGGACACGAAACACACCCACCACTTTCCCTGAAATCTGAATGGCACCTCCCCCTCAGGGGAAACCCGGAGGTCTATAAGCCTCATTCTTCCTAAAGCCCTTTCGGAAACAGACTTTTGAGTGATTAAGATGGACAGCTGGGTGCTACGCCAAAGCAGGTTTCGGCAGAGACCAGGAAACCAGAAGTTTGCTGGCCCAGCCCAGGCCCCATGCTGCTAACAAACTGGCCTTGGAGGGCAGTTTGGGCCCTCTGCTGCTGCCAAGTCCTATGGAGACAGACACACTGTGGAGCCCCTGAAGCTTCAGAGAGGTGCTGAGAGTCCCTGACAGTGGCCAGCACCTAAATACTTCCCAGGGAAGCCCAGACTGGCAGCCACAGCAGTCAGCTCCAGACACCAGAGAGCAGGGTCCAGGGGGCTCCCATGAGTCACTGAATTCTAAGACGATCACTTCACCATTCTTTTCCTTAATCTTCATCTTTCTTCTTTACTGATTTTCTATCCTTTTAGCCTTTTTCTTTTATATATCTAATTTTTCTCTTCCCCTTTTCTTACTCTATTTTCCCCTCTGTCTCATGTTCCCCGCCCCCCATTTCTTATTCTCCCTCTATTTGTACACTGCTTTCCTTCCCCTATTCTTTATTCTTACTTTCTTTATTTCGTTTCTCCGTTTCAAATTGCTTTTTCTTCCCTCTTTTTCTTGTACTTTTTTCTTTCTTTTCTTCTATCATTCTTGTTCTCTTTTCTCTTTCCTAATTCTCTCTTCTTTTATGGTTGCTTTTGTTGTCATTGTAGGGTGCTGTGTGTGTGTGTGTGTGTGTGTGTGGTGTTTTTTTCTTTCTTTTGCTTCTTGTTTTGATTTGTTCTGTCAGCACCTGCACAACTGCTTGCATTATATGGTCGGTGGTGAGCCTCAGTCAGCCGGACGAAGAGGAGATTCCATCCACAAATGGGGCAACAACATTCAAAACCCAATTACAACAGAGAGCACAAATAATTCACAATAGGGACACTCCTAGTGCACCCAGCTTGGGAGATCTAAGGGACTGCGCCACTGGGTCCCACAAAACACATACTACATAATGCCACCCCACAAAGACTGGGAGGTGTAGCAGTCTGATCTAATATGTAGTAACAAATACAAAGGGACAGCAAAAATGGGGAGACAAAGACCCCCCCCCCATGAAAGAAAAAGAGGGATCACCAGAAAAGGAACTACAATAAAAATGGAAACAAGCAATTTGTCAGATAAAGAATTCACAGTAATGGTTATAAGGTTATTCAAACAACTTAGTGAGAAATCTAAGCAACTTAATTAGAACTATGTGGGACTTAGTAAGAACTATACCAGCATGAAAAAAGATAGATGAATAAGAATCCATTGGAAATGAAGAATGACATAGCTAAAATAAAGAATACCCTGGAAGGAATCAACATTAGACTAGAAGAAGTGAAGGAGGGCCCAATCAGTGAATTAGAAGATAAGGTAGAGAAAAACACACACACCCACCCATTCAGAGCAACAATTCAGGAAAAAAAATTAAAAACAGGAGGAGAGTTTAAAAGAGCTTTGGGATAATATAAAACATAACAATATCTGCATCATAGGAGTGCCAGAAAAGAATATGAGCAAGGAACAGAGAACCTGTTTGAAGAAATAATGACAGAAAATTTCTCTGGCTAGGTGAAAAAAGTCAAACAAGTCCAGGAAACACAGAATCCCAATCAAAATCAACCAAAAAAGACACACACACACACACACACACACACACACACACAAATCATAATTAAAATGTCAAATGTTAAAGACAAAGAAAGAATCTTAAAGGCAGCAAGAGACAGAGTTCCTTACAAGGAATCTCCCATTAGATTTCTTAACAGAAACCCATAAATACTCAAACACAAGGAGGCTAAATAGCATGTTATTAAACAATGAATATTAAGATCATATAAGATCTAAGGGTGATTTAAAAACGTTCAGGAAACAAATGAAAATGAACACACAATAATTCTAAAACTATGGGACACAATAAAAGCAGTCTTAAGAGGGAAGTTCATAGCACTACAGGCCTACATAAAAAAACAAAAACAAAACAAAACAAAAGACAAACAATAAAAAACAAGAAAAATTTCTAGTAAACTATATAACCCTACAACTTAAAGCAATATATAAGTGGGGGAAAGGGGGGCGGGGACACAAGAAAAGCCCAGAGTAAATAAAAGGAAATAATAAAGATCAGAGTGGAAATAAATTACACAGAGACTAAAAAAGCAACACAAAAAAATCAATGAAACAATTGATAAGATAAACAAGATTTATAAAAAGATAAACAAAGCTGATAAACATTTAGCTAGACTCATCAAGAAACAAAGAGAGAAGATCCAAATAAATAAGATCAGAAACAAAAGAGATGAAGTAACAACAGACACCACAGACATACAAAGAGTGGTAAGAAAATACTATGAACAACTATGCCAACAAGCTGGACAATGTGAATGGAATGGACAAATTCCTAGAAAAATATAATCTCCCAAAACTGAATCAGGAAGAATCAGAAAACCGGAATAGGCCAATAACATACGAAACAGAAGCAGTAATCAAAAAACTCCCAGCAACCAAAAATCCTGGTCCAGATGGCTTCATAGGGGAGTTTTACCAAACACAGAAGAACAAACACTTATACTCTTCAAACTATTCCAAGCAACCCAAGAAGAAGGAACAAATTTCAAACTCTTCATGAGGCCAGCATTATCCTAATTTCAAAACCAGATAAAGGCTACAAAGAAAGAGAAGTACAGTCCAGTATCCCTGATGAACATAGATACAAAAATCCTCAACAAAATATTAGCAACTCAAATCCAGCAATATATTAAAAAGGTCATACGCCATGACCAACTAAAATTTATTCTGGAGATACAAGGCTGGTACAATATTCACAAAACAATAAACATAAACAGATTAAAACAAAACTTCACATAAACAGATTGAAACAAAAATCACATGATCATATTAATAGATGAAAAAAAAAAAACATTTGACAATACCCAACACCCATTTTGATCAAAATTCTCAGCAAAGTGGGAATAGAGGAATTATGCTTCAACACAATAAAGGCCATGTATGACAAACCTACATCCAACATCATACTCAATGAGCAAAAACTAAAACCAGGATCAAGACAGAGATGCCCACTTTCAACACTTTTATTCAACAT